ACATTTTTTTACTTGATAGTCTAAATTACTAACTCAATTGAATTTAATATTTTGAGTTGAGTGTTAATTAAGTTAAAACCATCCCAAGATGTCATATTAAAATCCTTAATTAAAAGGTCACAAGTCCTTAATTATCCCACACATTGGATATTGGATGTTGCTAAAATAAGAATTTTTATATTGTTCTTTCGTGTGGTGTGTCCCTCACCTTTTCAAATCAATAGCTTGAAGGCACATGCCACGTCCGTTGTACTCATCGTCGTGACAGCAACGAATAAATGAATTTATGTTAATATATTATCAATATTAATTTGATAACTCTTTTATTTAAATAAAAAACTTCACCTCAGACCAATCTTTTTCGAAACTTCATCTAAAAGCTGCTTCATTTTTCTTATGTGTCTTAGAGGAAAAAGCAATCTTATTTTTCACAAGCCTCATCAACCTTAATTATTTATATATAAAAAAAATGAACGTCACACTATTAAATTGCATATACTTGTCCGTATGAATTGTGTACTTACTTTTACATGACTTTTTCTAAATACTAATTAGTAACCTGAAAACTGAACTTCTTCCTAAAATAAATGTCTCTAATTCAGCTACGTGTATACCCTTGCGTACAAATTTGTATACATACTTTCACATCTTCACCGTTCATTTTTTTTCTAATTAGTTGGCGTCATGAATTAGTTCATCAAATGTACCTTAGTTAGACATAATGACTAAAATATTGGTCAGCACATTAGTTAGACTATAAAAAATGACTTAAGTATTAGTTATTTAATACCTTAATTTAAGAATCAGTAATTCTGATTAAAATATTTATTAGGATAGTGGTTCAATCATAAAAGTAGTTAAGTATTTGTTGAACACTTAAAATTTTATATTTATGATTTAATTAAAATTTAAGTTTCATTAATTTAACCAACCATAAAAGTAGCTAAAAGTTAAACACTCAAAATTTTAGATTAGTTATTCAATTCAAATTTGAGTCGTACCAATTTTAGTGTTAATCATTTAGTACCTAAATCAAAGATTAATAGTTTGATCAAAATATTGGTTAATGTAAGCAAATGGTCGAATAATTTTAAAATATAACTTTTTCAGTGTTCTTTAAAAGATATTTTTTTATAAAAATATTGTAACAATTTTAAATTTTATGTACTTATATATTTAAATAAATCATATTTAAATCTAATTATAGATGCTAAATTAAATTTGAGAATAAAAGTATAAACATTTTTTTTGTGCAACTAAAGTTAAAATTAAAATAAGTTAAGCGTAGGTGCATTGCACAAAAGCAAAGAATTAATTTAAATATTTTTTTATAAAATAAAATTGGCTTGGATATTAACTTTTGAAACGTGAATGAGTCTAAAGTGAAAATAGCAATATAAATGAGTAAATAATAATTGATTTATATGTTTAAGTTGTACTAATAAAAAATATATTTCAGTTTATTTATTCCATGGACAAGCTCATCTAAAATATTTGTTATTGTTATTGTATGATTGTGTGAAAATGTAACCATGACTACGTCAATTTACGACCAACCTAGTCAATAATGATGTGCTCCGTCATGTGTTTGAAAATTTTAATAAAATATAAGCACTCATGTAAATGAATATGAAAGAATGAAAGAGTTATATATATATATATATATAATTAATAAAAATTTACAAATCATTCCGTATTACTTAAGTAAAGTTTTATATTTGAATTTTTATGAATGTAAAAATTTTTCAGTGTTATACTTATTTACCATATTCAGATGTATGAATTAAATTAAAATTAAATTGGATGAAAAATAAAATAAAATATATATGAATAGAAAATAAAATATATAACTGCAACAAAATTGTGAAGGACACGGTCGGGTATCTTTCAGCTACAGGCTTCGTAAGCAGAGAAGTCTACAAACACTACGGACCATACTTAAAAAAAAAAAGTGCCTCTATATTATAAAATAAAATTAACTTTATTTAACTTTTTTTCATATTTCTAATAATAAGAACAAAATTAAGTACAGTCATTAAATGTTATCCCAAAATTTTGAAGTGAAACTTTAATTTTAATAAAAACAAATCAACACACCTAAATTTTATCTCCATTTTTTCCTCCTTAAAAGAAAATAATAACCCTTGTTTTTGGTTTGTCATGCATTCATATTTTTGTTGAAACCCAAATAATATTCGTGAGGAATTAAATTTTCCTTCAGGTTAATGAGGACGAATGACTCTAATTTATTCTCCTTTCCCTAATTTATATTTCATCATTTTTTTGTCAAATATTTTTATTTTAATTAATTAATTTAAGAAAGGTGGAACTTATTGACACCAAATAAATAAATTATTTTTATAAAATTTTATAAAAAATATAAATAATTTATTATATTACTTTATTTTAATGAATAATATGTTTTTAAATATAAAGTAAATATCAAATTTTAAATAACATATTTATAATTATATAATTTATGTAAAATTTGATATATAAGATTATTAAGATAATATATAATAATTTAAAAATTAAATTTATTTATTTTATATTTTATAAAAAATTATTAAGAGGTGTAAGCATTTAAATTTAAAAAATAAAATTTATGAAAAAAATTTAGGAGTATTCTTGGCGAAACCCAATGATGGGCCTGTAAAGAGAATGTAACTGGTAAAATAATGGGCCACAGTTGACATGTCCATCACCGAACAATAGTCCGAATAGTTACACCCTCATTTGCGTACTCGCCTTCTGTAAATTTTACTTGTAGGTTCACCCGAAAAACAAAAACCTTGTAAGCAGTTTTTTGAAAATTTTCATGCGACAAAAATGATATTCATAATGACAAAACGTCTTGACATTTTAGGAGTGAAAGATCAATTTAGTTTACTTCTCAAATTATCATTGTGCTTGAGGGCATATTTAATGTTGTCATGACTTGAGCATACTAGCAAAGTCTAACCAAAAGTTTTACACAATGGAACCTTGTGACTTATCAATTTAGGGGTTAGTTGGGACTCTTTTGAGAAGAGAAGGGAGTGATTTTTTTTAATTAATAAAATTATATATTATATAAGTAATTCATATTTGGTGGAGTGAATTTACAACTTCAAAGTTTTGATTTGATGTTTGTCTTTTATGAACCTCTTCCTTGCTTGTCTGATGACCTGTTAAATCATCAATATAAATATGTAGATATTATCTTTTGATATTTATATCCTAATCTTAGAAAGTGTGAGACATAAGGGAATTTCTGCTGTCTAAGTTTTCATTGATGTTGCATGTTTCTATAAATATAAGGGAATGGGTGTGGAACTGTAAATCTTTCTGTCATTAATAGTTACTATTCCACAGCAGTGATTCTTTGTTTCATTAATTTCTACAGTTTCTGTATTATTTATTTGATTGCCACTGAACAATTCCAGATGAAGAATCGAGAGACATAGTTGAGAACTTTGTATCAGAGATTCATTACTGGAGTCTTTGAAAATATTTTTCTGGTAACTTAAACATTACATTATGCGCAACAAATCTCACTGCTGGTTTTCCCTAGGCTTAAGAATATTGTTGAATTGTCTCAAGGTTGAATGACCGATTTCTGTTAACTGCTGACTAATGATAAGCATCATATTTACCTAGTCGCCATTTTACCAATAAAAGCATATGCTATATTGGAACCTTATCTTTGGTCCTGAAGATAAAAGGTGGTAAGATAAGAAAGTAACCTGGTCCACGTTTGAGTTGTAGAAGCTACTCAGTTTAGTGGAGGGTTTAATGATCTTGTTTTGGCAAACTAAAATAGGTCTGGGATGTTTGATAAGTAATAGCCATTTGATAAGAGCACCAAGATCCACTTCCCCAATTAAAGAGTGGCAAAAATGCAGCTTGGAGTTGTGTTATAAAAGCCTCACGTTGGATATGAATAGAGAAGTTGAGCAACATTAACAAATATCCAAAACCTAATGCTTAAGTTTTTGGGTTGGACGTGGAATCCAAATCGATGTGTATTATTTGCTCACGTTAATCATTGTATCGAAAGACTTCTTACTGTCATCATATCTTCTTGCTGAGTAGTCAACACTAACACCTTATCGAAGGCATATCGTAGATTTGCCCGCTAAATCCACTATAGGAAGATAAACGGCTTTTTACGTAACAAAACTGAGAGCTATTCCTTTGCTGAAAGAAGATTCTCAATCAGTTCAATCGCCAACTTGCTTCCTGGATTTTCTTAAGGTGATCCTCCTATATAGGCTTGTATTGATGTTCATCTCATCCATATTTTTTGGAATAAAATTAAACGTGTATGAAGAATAAACTTGAGATTGATGTGATATCTGTTTCTGAAAGCCTAAATCAAAGGATTTATGATTGTACCAAGGGACCTGTTACTTCTCTCATGATTAAGTTGAAGTGACAGCTGAGAAGCTAGTACTTCTAATGGGATTTTATTTACTTGATTGTGCACAAGTAGTCGTTGCATTTGAATTGACATCAACTATTAATTATGATTATGAAGAAGGTAAGGTTCGGTTCACACAGAGTATTGAGTGATGGTGGATCCCAACCCAATGGTGGATATAGGCCTTGCTGGTCCCATTCGTGGTTGGGCCTTTGTGTTTGGTGAACCCAAGTATTCAAATGACACAACTTTTTGAAAAAATGAAGAAAAAGAAAAAAACCAGAGAGGATTCTATCAGAAAAAGTAATCTCCTGTGGGGAATTTTTATTTTTTGATCAATCAATAACACAATTCAATCTAAATTATGAACATGGTTAAATATTAAAAATGTCAATTCTTGTATTGAGTAATCTATTATGTCAATATTTTAAGCAAAATTACATTGTTATTTGACAAAAAAATAAATAATTTTTAATCATTTTTTAAAAGAGTTAAATTTAAATACACCGCCTTCTACTATTATTGAACAGTACAAGAATGTATCATTGAAACCGTAACTACTCTCTGTCTTATCGCGAGTGTGTTCGGAAGGTGTCAACCAGTGACCATAATCCATGCGATTCTATTTTATATTTCGTTGTATTAAAAGAAAAAACATGTAATAAAAAAGTAATATATATCAATTCAATTCTACAAAGAAGAAAATCAGAATAGAAAGTGTTTTATTCACTGTCATCAATCACGTGATTGGCAAGTTTTTGACGTATCATCAGTATTTATTGAATGATGTGGCGTTAAGTAATTACAGTGGAAGAAGCTAAGGTGCGTCGAAGATTAAACGAAGGTGAATTGAAGCAGATGGCGGCAACGTTGAGTCTTCCTATCGTAGACCTCGCTTCACCCAATCGTGTTTCCGCCGCCAATTGCATCCGTCAGGTTTTGTATTCATACAACTCTTCTCTGTTTTTTGTCCAAAATTATGTTACAATTGTTATATTTTGATTATATTGTGTGTGGAATTAATTAAGTTAATAAGAATTAACTGCAATAGGCATGCATTGAGTATGGTTTCTTTTACCTCGTGAACCACGGAGTGGACACCAAGTTTGTGAGGGAAGTGTTTGATCACAGCGCCAAGTTCTTCTCACTTCCACTCCAACAAAAAATGGACTTTGCCCGCAAGGAATATCGGGGTTACACTCCTCTCTATGCTGAGACTCTTGATACTTCACTGTCCAAAGGTATTTTTCCTTGTCTTCATCCATGCTATGAGATTTAAATGTGGTGTTGTCCCTACATTTGGCAAAATATTGATTTTAGTCTTTTTTTTTAATACCTGATATTCCTCGTAGCAAATCACATCATCTCTAGAAACGAAAAGTGTTGAATTTAAAAAAGATTCGGGACTAATACCAAAAGGACTAAAATTAAAATCTTGCAAAAATATAAAAATCAAAAATAGATTTAAGTCTTGTATGAGTGTGGTTAATGTTGAAAGAAACTTGTGTGTCCTTGTGCAGTTGTTTGTTATTTAGAAAGACGGAAAACTTTTTGAAAATTCCTAATAATAATAATAATAAGCAGGGGATCTGAAAGAGAGTTATTACATTGGTTCTTTGGAAGATACCACTGGTGTTCATCTGAATCAGTGGCCTTCTGAAGGTATGACTTTCCTTTGTATTCATTTCATTATGCGTAATTGCACATGAATTAATTTGTGCGCGTAGTTTGTTTTTACATGAGCTTAACTTGAGATTTTTTCTGGCAAGTACACTTCAGAATTACTGCCGAATTGGAGACCTACAATGGAATCCCTACTCTGGAAACTGCTGTAAGTTTGTTACCACTCAAATGTTTTTGGCTACTCTTTAAATATGTACATGAGTTGCTCCTTACTGACAACTAAAAAATTGCGAAGTCTATTGTTCATTTAGGTTTTGTTCCTAACAACGTGTAGAGGATTAATGTCCTCTGTAAATTTCACTAATGTATGGGACATGAAGGGTTCACAACCTGTGTATTTATTGAGAACTTTATTCATGCATCTTTTCTTTGTGAATGTGTGTGCGTGTTTGTGTGTTGTATATGCTGAAGGAAAGGATGGTTGAGCGTTCATATTCATATTTTCTTTGGTTCTTTATCTTGTCATAGAGTTTGAATTTTTGAATTTAAATGTTCTTATATGCCACAGGGCAGCTGGAAAAGAGTTGATGTCTCTAATTGCCCTGTCCTTGAATCTGGATGAAGATTACTTTGAGAAGATAGGATCCTTGAGCAAACCAGAAGCTTTTCTTCGCCTTTTGCACTATCCAGGTTCATGAGCCTTAAGTTGCTTTTATGGACCTTCTTAAGTAAGCACAAAGCACGTAGACCAACATAAAAGAGCAAGCCCAAAGCACCTAGCACATAGCACATAGCACATCCCTCCTGTTCAATCTGTTTGTTTGAAAAGGAAACATATTGGATGCCTGAACAATAGCACTTCACTTGAATGTATCTGTAGTTCATATGCCAATTTGTAATACATAGTGCAATATGTTCAATAAAATGTATTGTATATTTATAGTGCGTTTGTTTAGTTTTGCACGTAGTACTGTTTCTAGTTGCTAAGTTGAAGCTAGATTTGAGGCAAAAGGGGCAGTTCTGGTGGCTGTAAAGTTTGTGTTTTGTATTATATTCTAAATTTCTTTCTGCTGTTTATTAGTAGGGGCAAGATTTTCAAACAAATGAACCTGTGTAACCACCTTTAACTGTTGATAACATGCATTTCAATTACATTAGGTGAATTGGGATCTGATGAAGAGATCTTCGGTGCCTCTCCTCATTCAGATTATGGCATGGTCACTCTCCTAATGACTGATGGGGTTCCAGGACTGCAGGTTCTCATCTTCCCTGTTGTTTACTTTCTGTTTGACTATTGTGGTACGTCTTTGATATTAAGAGAAAGAATATGGAGTTGAACTCCTTACAAGCAGGGTAATCCATCTACCTGTGTCGGGATTCTGATTGAAGATCAGAATTGGACTAGAAACAAAAGAAAGAGAAAAAAAAAAAGGAATTCACAGGAGTGGATACTCCTGGGACCTTTAACCTTGTTTCATGCATCCTTAATCTTCCTCACCATTTGTTGATCACCACCAGTCCTGTTTGTTACCAACAACCTCTTCTCCCATCATTTTCTTTCCCGTTCTTTAACTACCCTTTGTTTTGACCTGATGCTCCTATAGGGTATAAATCCTACTCTCCCCCTATTTCTCCTTTCATACACCTTCATTTCATTCTTCCCTCTCGTCATGTATACCTTATTCACTGAAGGTCTATCATATTGTTACGGATCTACAATTTCTGTTTAAAATGTACTATTCATATAATTCAAGACTTCTATGTTTTAAGATCTGCAAGGAGAAGTTCAAGCAACCTCAAGTCTGGGAGAATGTGTCTCATGTAGAAGGGTGAGTTCATGAATCATGATTAAAAAATTTATAAATAATATACTGCTACTTTAAAGTCTATTTGAATCACAACTGAATTCTATTATTTATTCTAGACTACAGTTCCATTAAAAATTATGCATTTTAGCTGCTCTTTTTTCCAAGTATTAGGTGTTTTGAGTTTGTATCTGCAGGGCCTTAATAGTAAACATTGGGGACTTGATGGAGAGGTGGACAAATTGTTTATACCGGTAAATACCATCATTTAACAATAGTTGTTATTTCCGTTTTATTGACAATTTTCTAGTCTGTGATAGAGAATACACAATAAGAACATATATAAAGTTTTTATTGAAATTGCAAGATTTCACAAAATTCGATGCATTAATAACATTAAATACTACAGTTTTTAATGAAAACTTACTATTGATTTTTTATTGTGTCTTTAAGCACACGTTGGAAAAACCATTTTACTAACAGGATCTGTTATACAACTTAGCAATCGACTTTTTCGTTCTTATTAGGCAAGGTCTTAGTGTACTGCCGTACTGGTATATATCAATCTCAGTTCTTGTCATCACTCTTGCAGGTCAACACTTCACAGGGTTATGCCGACAGGGAAAGAGCGTTATTCTGTAATTACTAGCCACTTCCTCGGTCGCTTTATTGTGTTATTGATGTTCCACTATTTTTCTTGATTTCTTATGATTGCTGCACCCTTGCTATACGATTTGTCGAGTGAGTTATTCTAATGCATACACATAAATGACACAGCTTGCCCTCCACACACACACACACAAAGTGGGAAAGGTGAAAAAGTCACATGCAACTTCTAATGACTGAACCCGTGGGGATACTTCATGGTTTCACACTTTCACTAAAAATAAAAAAAACCTTGATCATAATGCTAGATGACATCTCATCTGGATAAAGCTTCTCTCTATGTCATTTTGGGCTGACCAAGGTGCAACAGGTCTTCTCTTTTAAGGATATGAAGAATTTAATACTTCAAAATAGTTTTTTAGCATGGATATTACGGAACGAGTAGTTAGAGTAACGATATGCTTTTATTAAAAACTGTATCAGAAGCTGATGACATCTTTTCAAAGGGTCTTTAGGTGTAAGTTTTATCCTAAAAAATGGAACACGGAAATTATCTGATGTCATAGTTGGTGAGAATGTTCTTTCTATCCAATACACTACAAATTTGGATCAATTTTAATTTCCTTTTGATGAGATCTTCTAGTTTGTTGTCACGATTTGCTAATGCATATCCAGTAAAGTTTGAATGATGTGCAATTTTGCAGGTCGCATTCTTCTTGGACCCGCCCTCAGACTGTGTGGTGGAATGCCTTGAAAGTTGCTGCAGCAAATCATCTCCTCCAAGGTAGAAAAAAAATGTTCTCCAATTAGGATTATTTTACCGTAGTCAGACCGAAACTAAGATTTAAGCAATTAAAAAAAGTTTCACAAAAAAAAAAACAAAAAAAAAACGAGAGTTCAATTTTGATAGGAAAAAAAACTGATTCCACTTAATTTTTTATATTTTCATTAATCATTCACATTATTTAAAAATTAATACTCTTGAACTAGTTGTTTAAGTGTTGAACTTTTTGACGAAGTAACAACGTATGATTGAGTGATAACATAAAGATATTTTATGCTAAATTAAATCCGAAACTTTTAGGCTGAAAGTTGATAAAAATGATAAAACAGAAAGTAAAAGTGGGGTAGTAATTTACATAGACTAAAACAAGCACATGAAAAAGAGAAGATACACAACCGACAAAAATTATCCCTCTGATGGAGGTCTTTATTGAATATTGAAAGATACATGCGTACATTTCTTAAATTTTACTTTTACACGCAAGATGCTATAAAACTTTTGTCAATGTTTGCTGCAGATTCCCTCCAATACGTAGTGGGGACTACTTGAATGAGCGGTTCAGACTCACATATGGTTCTGAAAGGGATCTAAAATGCTCTCTATTCAGTTAAAGAACTAAAAGGCTGCAAACACAAATATGAAAATATGTGGACTACGGAGGCTATTCAGAAAACTCTGCTTCAATTTAAATGTTGCAAAATGTGGTCTATGACACTGTGACTTTGTTTACATGGTCGTTGCCATATGAGATGGAGCCTATTATTAATGCTTTGTTGTTGATATTATAGTTATGGGAAAATATATTATTTAAGCTGCTAGTCTGCAATACTTATTTAGTTATTTCCATATACATTTTGTCCTTAAAAATTGAAATTCTTAATTTCTTATGCCTTCGTTTATTCTAACAATGTTAACTTTTTAAGTTTATTTATGTCGTTCAAAAACTTGGCTAATTAGACTAAATTGACTTGTTCAGCCAAAATTCATCGGAAAAAGGATATGCGAATATTCTAAAATGAAATATTATACAAGCGCACGTATCCATTGTATTGAATGAGATTGCCAAAACGAGTCAATTTGATTGATCATGTATGATGTCATCTATTAACTTTAAGGGGGAAAATGTATTAATAACACAATTTATGACGCACTCTTTTGAATTTTTTATTAGTTAAAAACTATATACGTTAATTAAGATTCTTAGTCATGTTTTTGTAATTATTACTAAATTTCAATCAATAAATAAAAATGCAATAAAAAATATGATAAATAATGTGTTCATAATTAAAAGAAACTTTTGAAGTTAATAATATTAATTTATCTCTATTCTATATTGGTTAGTCTCAGAAAGTGAGATATTTTTTGAACTCACTTTCTCTCGTATGTAATGTCAAGTCATTATTTTTAATAAAATAAATTTCTTTTTGCCTATGTTAAGATTGTAACTTATTCTCTAAAGTGGAAAAAATGCAAATTTATAATTTTTCGCATTTGATTATATACGATAGCCTGAATTTTGATATAAAATTTTATCTATGTAATTTAATCATGCTTAATATGTAAAAACTAATAATAATGATCATAATAAAATTAACTCGTAAATTTAGGAATAATTATATAATATATCTTTAATTTTTATTCTATAAATTTATTCGAACTCAATAATGTGGGTGCATGTAGAGAAAAACTCACAAAATGAACATTTTACTCGTAACTTTTACTGCGGTGACTTTGACGATTGCCTTGAAATAAAAAGGAGGAAAATGAGAAGATATATAACCTAAAATCGATGAATCATTGGTGGAAAGTTTACTTTGAACTCGGAGTGGGGCTTTAGGAATAAAGGGGAATGAGAATAATCGGAAATGTGGTGATAAAAATAGCCTTTTGAAAGAGATAAGGTGGATAAGCATTAACAGAAACATGAAACCCAATGTGCTGTTATGCACCAGAATATACCCTACCTTCCTTCTTGGAAACACTTCCACGTGGATTATCCCTGCTACAAGTGTTTCAAGATTTATTAAATAAAAGAAGATCATTCAACACCTTAATATTGAGACCTTGGAAACTTCTTAAAACTTTTTAGGAAGTGTTCAATTTTATATGTTGGATGTCAAATTTAAAATAATATATTCTTTTTTTTTTAAGTTTTGGAAGAAAATATTATTTATAGATGGGTTGATATCCTACATTTTCATGAAAATATACATTTTTATACGGTTTTTTTAATGTGTACCCTAAAATACATCATATAAAATATATTTTATCAAACACTTTAAATTATCATAACATGTATCATTAGATCCACATAATAAAAAATAACTTATTTTTATAATACAAAAACATAATTATACCAAAGCTTTCAAATAAAAATATAATTAATGTTATATATATATATATATATATATATATATATATATATATATATATAACCAATGAAGTTTCTTTGTTTTATATAATTTTGTCTTTTCACACATGCATGTACACAATTTTCAAACTATAAATGCTTAATTTTAGTTTTTATTTTAACTTTTAAAAATTTTAAGTGAGTATAAATTTAGTTAATAGTCTAAACAAATTTTATTATTATATAGTGTAAAGATATTTTTGAAATAAATAATTTTAAGAAAATAGTGTTTGAATAAAAAATGAGATTGATATATTTAAAATTTATTATATAATATTTTTAAGAATATTTAAGACATATTAAATGTATTTTTAAGAAATAAAATTTCTAAATTAAAAAATTGTATACCAAATACTTACTATATATATATATATATTGAGAAATTAATATTTAACTAATAAGTATCTAACTCACTTTAGCCGATGAATAATATTTGGTTATTATTTTTTTGTTATAAAAATATGGTTTAATAGATACGGCATCTTGTATTATGTTAAAAAGGCTCCACCGAAGAAAAATGTTTTAAAAACATCTGTAGAGAAAATAGTTATTTTTTTATATATAATATGACTAAATTTGTTATGATTCAAAATATTTTGCAAAATTTATGTTATTACAAATTTTCTTAAATGATGGTTAGAGTTTTGCTGAAAATTATATTATTAAAGGTATTTTATTTTCATAATAATTGTTCTGTTTAATTTATTTCTGATCTTAAAATGTTATTAAGTGTAATGTCCACATGTCTACTCATAGTTTGAAAGTTTTATTAGGTTTATATGAAGATACTTTACTTTGCATGATTATAATATATTTTAATGATGAAAAATTTAAGACATTTTAATTTGTCCGTATCTCAAAATTCACAATACTGTCTTATTTTCTATTGTTTAGACATCTATTTTAATATTTTATGTATTTAAATTTTTTAAACTGTCATGTAATAATTATCAAAATTTAACAACGTTATGATTTTTAATGTTTTATTTTCACTAAATACACTCCATAATATATAATTATATTTAGTGTTTAAATGGATGTGTTTCATTTATTACAATTTTCACGGACTGAAAATATTACCACAAAAATTAAGGTACACCTCTTCTAAAATTGTTAGTTACACTTTAGAATTCAAAGCGCTAAATCCTAATTATTCATAACAATTTTTTTTTTTCCAATTTTTCTTTTTTAACAATGGTTTTGACATGTGACTAACATTGAGTTGAACTGTATTCTATTCACTTTAGATGCTAACAAGATATAGATCGGTAAACGTGTCACAACTTTATCAAAAGTTATTTTACGTAAGTTTTTTTTTTTAATTTATAAACATTATTTATTAAATTTACAATAATGTAGAATTAATTATATGAGTTAGACCTATTATCTGCCTTTAATTCTAATCAATGGTTTGTATTTATGCACTTTAACCTCAGTGTTCCCTAAAAATAACTATTGATATAACTCTTGTTAAATATTTATTAAAATTTTCATCTTTACGATAATTTACCATAAGTTTTATAAATTGTGTTCACATAATACTTTAGTTTATTTTAAATAAATTTATCAATAAATAATCATGAAAATAGATTTCATTATTTGATTTTTTTAACATATCTAAGAATTGAGATATATATATATATATATATTATTAATTTTAATAGAAAGTTTATTGACTTACTAAAATTGATATAATAAGAAACTTGACTCTGGACGGATAAGATAGAATTTTTGATTATTTTATGCTATGCCACTTGCCAAGACTTTGGATAAGGAGCAAATGGACCTGCATAATTATCGTGGCGATCATTGTTTGTTTCCAAGCAGTTTTTTTCTTCGCTTTAAGGATTATGCATGCTATTAAGGTATTTTTCTTTATTAATTATTATTTTTTTCACATGTTTTTGTTAACGTGTAAAATAATTCAACTTAGAATTTCTGTATCGCGTGTGGATAGTTGTTAAAGTACATCTCTTTTTACTTTATCTGATAATTGATTAATATCGCCTGATAAGCTTTCAAGAGGAGGTGTCTATCCCCAAATCTTTATGATTGCATTAACAAAGAGGGATGTAGATGCATTGTTATAAAATATTTTAAGTTGATATTGGAACGTAGTAATAATAATAATAATATCGAGTCTGTCTTGTTATAAAGCGTCGTGAATCGTGATCACTGATCAGAGGGCTGATTTTTTATTTTTTATTTATAAATATTCATAGTTTTTTCAAAGTGTATAATAAATCAAATACTTTAATATATATATATATATACCGTTTTTTATTTCTATTTATTTGACAGTATCTTAAAAATTGTTAACAGATTCCTATAAAACACGTTAAATCTAAAATTTTTATTTAAAAACGTTGTTTGATATAAATTATTTATTAATAATTCCAATATATTTTTTCCAAATTAGTCAAATTGAATATGCTTTAATCATTTTCCTGCATCAAACTACTTTAAATTATTGATAAATATTAATTAGTATCCTAAAAATATTAGTTAAAAAATAAATTTTCAAAGATATTATTACCATAATTTTTAATAAAGGAACATTTATTTATTAATTCGTTTAATACGCTGTTAAGGCAAATGTTCAACTACATCCGAAATTGTTTGAAAGCAACTGTTGAAAGAATGCCATATTCTGAGTAAAAAGTGTCCGAATCTCCGCCACGTCAAATCGCACTCAACAAATCGACGTTCACCAGGGAAGGACCACGATTATGAATGCAGCAGCGAAGTAGGGGGTTATTTCCCTCTTTATCCACGACAAGATAAATGGATAGTGTTGCGTCGTAGGCATTCTCTCTTTCTCTCCCATCTGCGAAAGCCGAGGGAGACCAAAACAAAAACAACATCATAAACCAAACCGAACCTAAAAAAACCTATTCGGTCGTCGCTAACCTTAAACCCCTCAATTTTATGTCTCGGATCCTGTGATTCGGATCCCCAAGACCCGCTTCTAGAACCTCGTTGTCTTCTCTCGTTGGATCCGGTTCGGAACACCATGACCCGGCGATGCTCACATTGCAGCCACAATGGACATAACTCCAGGACTTGCCCCAACCGTGGGGTCAAGCTCTTCGGGGTCCGATTAACCGACGGGTCGATCCGAAAGAGCGCTAGTATGGGTAATCTCACCCACTATGCTGGTTCCGGGTCTGGACCCCACCATACCGGGTCGACTAACCCGGGTTCTCCTGGTGAAACTCCCGATCACGCTGCCGCCGCCGACGGTTACGCTTCCGAGGACTTCGTTCCTGGTTCTTCTTCTAGCTCCCGTGAAAGAAAGAAGGGTTCGGCTCTTCCCCTATGAAAATTTTTTTTGTTTTGTATTGTTTATTCTTTTTTTGTTATTATTGTAAATTGCATGCGGATATTTAGAGTTTAATTGAGAGGTTTTTGGTACTGTTTTGCACTTGTTGATCGAATTAGATGGAGTCAATTGTCTTGGATTAACTGTGTGATCTTTTTTTAGTTTGTATTTACGATTGTGACAAAATTCTTTCTTTTTCTGGTTGGTATCGTCACTGTGGAAATAACTAGACAGGAAAGGCACGAGTTAACTTTATTAGGGATTGTCTTTTTTTGAGTGAGTTATTGGGATGCATGTGCTACATGTGCTTGGATGCATAGATTTTGAATCTTTGAAATATTGAAAAATGGTTAGATGTAGTTAAAAATCTCTAGTCATGTGCTTTGTAAAAAAGTTGGTCATCTAGCTCACTGCAGGTTCTAATTAGTAAGGAGTTTGTCCAAGTTTGTACTAGTTTCACCCATGAAAAGAGCAGGTTTCTCGGACCTAAAAATAAATAAATAAATAAAAATCATTATGTTTGATTTCTGTTGGATTACCGTTTGTTTACTTTGGAAGTGCATTGTAATCATGGAGCATGTGGTGTACTGTGTGTTTTATGTACATTTGTTTCACTATTTCAGCTACATGGAAGGAAGGTGATTCTATAGTTTTTGGTCAATTTTGTTTTGAAAAAACTGATAGACACCAATTAGTTCAAAGAGGTATATGTAAGTTTAACAAGTGTTAGATGCGGACTCTATATTGGTTGATGCTTATGCGATCTTTGCTATATATCAGAAGATAGGGTGACAAGCACACTTGTAAGCTGCAGGGCATTTACAATTTTTCACTACCAAATAGGTTATCCTCCTGTATAGAAATTGGGCAGAGTAAGTCAGGGATGAAATTCCATAATTCAGGTCTGTATATTTCATTCACACTGTAATCAAGGTTGATATCTTGACTAGGTGGGGTACTTACTCCTCCTCTTTGCCCCCTACTCACCCATCCGTAAAAGAATTATGAACTTATAATTAGAAAGCTGAGAGAGGGCGGGGGTAAGTTTTGAGTCATATTCTTTTTGATTGACTACTTGATAATTCAAGGAAACAGCTGGTATAAGTTTAGATTTCGTAGTTTCTTTTCTACTTTTATCTTATCCTTTTTTCTTAGTCACTTGTCCTATCATGACTATCAAATGAATCGTAAATATTTTAGTTTACTTGAAGACCCTTATGTAATGTAGGCTTTCAAATAGGCTTTGATTTGAGGTCATGCCCATATATCATGATGCCGGACTGAGGCCAGTGTTCTGCAGAACAGGTCTGGCCCTATTTAGGCATAACTTTGCCTAACTTTTTTTTCGGTTTCTAATTATATGGGAGCATTAGCAGAATATGCATTATTTTTTTGTGGTTTCTAAGTTTTTTTTCACATTATGCATAGCTCTAATGATGGCTATAGACCTTAATAACTTGTCCAGCTTATTTCCTCATCTAATGGTGTGTAAGCATGATCCCTTAATTTTTTTTGACATTACACTTACCTTATTTCCTCTTTAATTCTTTTTCTTTTCACATTTTTGTGGTTCTCATAACTTCCCAGTTGCTAAAGTAAGGGAAAAAGGGAAAGAGACTTGGATTAAGTGAATTAGTGAAATGTATCTAAGATGAAGATGGTAATGTTCTAGTTAAGAAAAAAATATATCTAGGAAAGATGAAAGAATGTTTTTCATTAGCTATTTAATGAAGGACATGAATTTTTATGATTTGATCGGGTGTAAACACTATAGAAGAGGACCCAAATTATACCTTATGATGTAGAATTCTAGAGCTTTAGTTAAAGTGGGTAATTGAGTGGAAGGGTCAAGGAGAGAAAGACATTGTTGACTCACAAAATTGTTTAAGAAGGTTATGAGGTATGAGAACTGGATGAGTGAAGGAAAGTCACTTTCATCCCTAGCTACAAGAACAAGGGAGATATACAAAATTGTGCAAATTATCGAGGAATTAAGCTTATGACTCATGTTATGAAGCTATGAGAAAGGGTAAAGTAGAGAATTAGACAAGAGACCCACATCATTGAAAATCAATTTGTTTTTATGCTGGGGAGGTTTACAAATTAATACTTGCTATGACACTTAACAAAGTGATATCAAAGGAATAAAAAAGACTTGCATATGAATATATGATAATGTTCGACAAAGTGCCAAGAGAGTGCATACTGCCTATATTTGAGCAATCAAAGATATGTTGTAAAGGGGGTCACAACAAGTGTGAGAACTGAAGGTGGGTCAAAAGTTTTTCTATAATGATAGGTCTACATCAAGGACCAACTTTGAGTATCTCATTACCTTAGTATTGGATTGTCTACTAGGCATATCTGAGAGTTTATGCCATCAAGGACCAACTTTGATCCTATCTAAAAAGGAATTAAATGTGAAGAGAGAGAGATGAGGTGACAAGCTTTGAAAGCTTGTGGCTTCAATCTAAGTAGAAGTAAACCGGTGTATATGGAATTTAAGCTTAGCAAAGGGCATGTTGAATACTACTTTAGAGGTGAAACTTGGAAACCATACCTCACCATAAGTCACATTGTTTAAGTATCTTGGATCCATCATAAAAAGTAATAGAGAAATGGAGGGTGATGTAAATCATAAGATTCAAGTGGGGTGGATAAAATGAGTGTTTCGAGTGCTATTTGTGACAAAAAGGTACTAATTAAGTTTAAAGGAATACTTTACCATGCAACTATACAACTTGTGATGTTATATAGAACTTACTGTTGGACAGTTAAAAGCTAACAAGAAAATAATCTCACTGTAGCAGATAAGTGAATGTTGCATTGGATGTGTAGACATACTAGATAGGATAGGATTAGGAATGAGTACATTAAGAGGCAGTTGAGGTAGCTCCTGGAGTACAAAAATGATAGAATCCCTTTATGTGGTTAGGTATGTGTGGAGAAGATCTATAGAAGCCCCATCAAGGAGAGTATATCAAATGTAAGAGTAGCCCTATCATTAACGTAGAGGGAGATCAAGAAAAGTTATGGATGAAGCCATTAAAGGTTTAGAGGTCAATGATTTGTCTATAGATATGATCCACAATAGAACATTATGGTAATAAGACCTGATTTATTGCTGTGTGCTTAGCTTCAATGAGGCTTTAAATGATGACAAATCCTTTTATGGCTGAACATAAAAAATCTTTAAATGATGCAGGTGTTCCATGGACTGAGGAGGAACATAGAATGTTTTTACTTGGATTGCAGAAGCTGGGCAAAGGTGATTGGCGTGGAATTGCAAGGAACTATGTTATATCAAGGACACCTACTCAAGTGGCCAGCCACGCTCAGAAATATTTCATCAGACAAAGCAATGTGCCCAGGCGTAAAAGACGGTCCAGCTTGTTCGACATTGTTGCAGATGATGTTTGTACCCTTATTTGCAAATACTATGCATGAAACATTTGTTTGTTTTTTAACATCAAAATACATATGATGAAATTGATGCCACAAATTTGTTCATGACCATCGATAAGATTATCCAAATGTGTTTCTTTCTTTAAAGATATCCTGTGACCTTTTTCTGCCTTCTGGGATGAATAAGTCTGTTAATCTCATGCACTATACATTGGTGGTAATCTGTAATTTGTGAAACTTGTCCATTTCCTTTCTTCCTCTGCTACAGGTTTTGACAATTTTGGATATTTACTGGCTTACTGTAGTGCATTTCGATAAGTTTTGTTCAGATTATTTTGGAATCATGGCTCTAGGGTAGTGATTAACATTGCATCTTCTCATGTGATGCTTTTCTGAATTCCATCAATGTAACTTTTTCTGTCCTTTTCCTTGGAACCTTCTCATTGTGATTTTGCAGGCAGCTGACACTCCAATGGTACAGCAAGACTTCTTGTCAGCTAACCAGATACAGGCTGAAACAGAAGGCAATAACCCTTTGCCTGCTCCTCCTCCTCTTGACGAAGAGTGTGAATCCATGGATTCCACAAACTCAAATGATGGAGAGTCTGCCCCACCGAAGCCTGAAAACACACAATCATCTTATCCAGTGTTATATCCTGCATATTATTCGCCTGTGTTCCCGTTTCCTCTGCCCTACTGGTCAGGATACAGTCCAGAGCCCACCAAGAAGGAGACACATGAAGTGCTGAAGCCAACTGCTGTACATTCTAAAAGCCCAATCAATGTTGATGAACTTGTTGGCATATCAAAACTGAGTTTAGGAGACTCTATTGGTGACTCTGGCCCCTCCTCTTTGTCTCTAAAGCTTCTTGAAGAAGGACCCTCTAGACAGTCGGCTTTTCACGCAACGCCGGCATGTGGCAGTTCAAATATGAATGGCAGTGCCATCCATGCAGTTTAAGTGCGTGCCATGTGTTCAGAGGAATGGAATCATACGGGGCTCATGAATGTGGTCTTGTGTTCATCATATATCTGGTTGTGGGGTACCAGAATAATTTTTTCTTTGCCCATTCACAGTTATTAACCTAGTTTGTTTATTTGCTAGTAGACATTAGCGTCTAGGAATTACTTGGGGTCTAAACTAAAACTTTATGTTTGTTCAGTAATTTCATGTGTCAGGGTTATGTAAAGTTATTGTTGATTGTGCAGTTTGACAATCTACAATGTTGTGCTTCCTGTTTTAGTGCTGGATAAAAATGTTTAAAGTGTTTTACCATGGACTTTACTAGCTCAAATTCGGTCTCTCCTAAATCAATAGCTCCAATTGTAGCTGCTTCGTTAAGGTTTGAAATTGACCGAGTTAGCTTAGACTTACTTTAAATGTGCTTGACCTGTTCGTGAAATTTAATGCGTAAACCTGGTCTATTGATCCGATCTAAGTCTTTTTTTTAGGTCTAGTCTAGCTTTTCTAAAAGTAGGTTTTGCTTTGAAAACAGTTGAAAGTTTATGTAGAGATTGACCTTTTAAATAGATCAATAAGCTCATCCTAAAATAGGTAAATGGATTTAAGGTTATACATAGGTTGGTTCACCCGGGTCTCTTAATAAATTATTAAGTATATATTATCAAAGTTAATTTAAGAGTAAATTTTTTGTCACAACTATCTTCTTTGATAATTTTTATAAATATTAAATTTATAAATTTAATTATTGAATAATGTGATGTTAATATATTAGATTGTACATACCAAAACTAAATTAAATCATTTTAAATATATAAATTTTAGAAATAATATTTATTTATATTTTAAAAAGAATATCGTATGTTAAAATAAAGTTATTTGATAAAAAATGTCAATTTTTTATTTATACAAATTTTTACATAATTTATTCAATAAAAAATTTATTTTCAATAGTTATATTGATGAAATTTATTATTATTTTGTTGGTCGTCGTCAGTTTTACAAACTTTTGAATGATATAACAATTGACTATTTTGACTCAAAAGATTTTTTTAGAAGTTTAACAATTTATTTAATAAATATATTTAGGCGCTAATGTAAGTTTAACGTGAATGAGATCATAATTTTCGAACAAGTTCTCTGCTCTGTTTTCATACGTATTGCCAGCAATTGGAAAGGAAGTAAACTTCGATTTTAGCTAAACTTTACTCGAATCTCTTAGATTCATCATCTGAAAGAGATCTTTGCTTAAATATCACCTTAATTCAAGGATTAATTCTACAGCAATACTTGTAAAAACCTGTAATTTTTTTTAAAAAAATTATGTAACTAGTAAGTATTAGGTTTTATTGCTTGCGGTCTAGAAATAAAAGAACAGTCACTGTGATTTTACTTATTCAAGTAAAAATAAATAAATCAAGAGAATCATCTTAAGTAAGGGAATAAAAAAAAAGGAACTTGATTAAGGGAATAAAAGCTATCATGCACATCTTGTGCCATTAGAAGTAAACAATCAACAATGTTGATTGACTTACCTACACTTATTTTGACAAATAAACAGGAATTACTGCTGAGATTTATTACTATCACTCAAGAAAATAAAATGAACAATCTCCTTAAAATCAATTTTAATACAAACATTCTTGAGGTTTTTTTTTAACTTTCATCCACTAAAGACTAATAAAAATGGTCTAACATTCTGCTGAAAGGGGTGGCAAATGTCCAACTTTTGCATGAAACCAACCATGAATTCTCCATTAGGACACCTAGGAAGACCTCCCCAAGGCCAAGATGTGGAGGAGCTCCTGTGATGCACTAACCCATCCATATTTAGCTTTTAGATGACCTTTAGGAGGAGGTTTCCAGAAAATAAGCACCTCATCTTTAGCTAGCTCATTCAGATGACATGCAAATAAATGAGGTTTAGAAATATAATTGGTATAGGAAATAATCTGAGAAATCAAATCAGCTGTAGTAGTAACTTTAAGACAAAAAACAATGAGTTCCTTTCAAACTACAATTTTCAAATGGTAACACAAAAAATGATATGCCAATTCTTACAATATTCAAGTTATTAGACTGCAGGTTATCAGACTACTAACAACTAAGGCTAGAACTATTAAAATCTGCTCCAACAAAATGATCCTAGCTATTTGTGGCAAACCAACAGTCCTTTAAAATCATTCAGAAAAAAGTTGTCTATAGATAATGGTTTATTTCCTTATAATATTTTTAAATAAATTATAACAATTAAATAGAAAGTATTTTAAATAATTTTAAAATATAAAATATTTAAATATTTCTCTATTCAATCAATTATCAACACAAGATATTGTTCGAGAATTTAAAATTATAAAACAAAATTATATTTAATAAAAGAGACTGTTGTAATTACAAGTATGAAAGTATAGAAATGAATAAAAAATAATGAAAGCAAGATTAAATGAAATAGAATTATTTTTGACCTATAAATGTATTGTATGTAATTTAAAAATAAAATGAAAACAGAAATGAATAAAAATAACGAAAGCAAGATTAAATGAAATAGAAATAGGAATAGGAATGCATTTATTTTATTTTATTTTTACCTTTTCAGCTATTTCATAAGATATATAAAAAAAGTCAACTTTGATTTTTATTCAAAACGCAATTAAGGAAAACACACACACACACACACACACACACATATATATATATATATATATATATATATATATATATATATATAATCTAAATATGATGTGAGAAAAATATATTAGTGTTAATATTCTTATGAATATATAAAAAAGAATAAAATTAAATTATTTTGACTTTTAGTTAAATAACATAAATAAGGGGGAAATTAAAAAGTTGAATAAATTTAAAATAAAAAAGAAAAATGTGATAAGCATATTAAAGGGACAATAGTTTTACTGATTATTTAATTCATTTTTGATATTCATAAATAAGCAATCTAAAATCATATAATGAAATTGAGCAAGTGAAATATGATAATTTTAAAGTGAGCTTGAAGAAAAGGGAGGTACGCTAAAAATCTTAACAGGTATTCGAATGATAATTTAAGATGTGCTGACATATTTTTATCTTGTGTTTTATTTCTTTGAAGTTGAAGTGAAAATCCATGTCAAATGATTTTTTTTTTTTTGACAAAATATATATTTTTTAATTTTATTTCTTAGTCTTTTATTTGCACCTTCGAATATAATATATAACTTTAGCAATTAATTAAAAAAAACTTAGTAATATACGTGCATATATATTTTTTATAATCTCAATATTTTTAGCATTATTGTTCTTACTTTAAATACTTTTATATTATTAAAAAAAATAAGCGGGCTAAAAAGCTATTAGTGAAATTCAACAAGGGAAATGGATTAATTTCAAAGTGAAAAATAATAAATAAAAAAGAGAAGTTAGAAAATATATTAAATGATTTATTGTATTTAAGAAATTCTTAGGTGAATATGTGTTTGTGACTGTGATAAGATCATGTAATAATGTTATGTGAATTACATGAAAAATTAGTTAACAATACATGTGAATTAAAAAAATAATTAGTTAGTAATATTTCATGTATTTTTTACCGTGTATTTTCAAAAGAATACACGATACAAATATATAATAAATTTATATAAAAAATATAATGTTATAAGATTTAAGTTATTAATGATATTAAATTTTAAAAATTTTAATATTATTTATTAAATTTTTATTATGTATCTTAAATATAAATTAAAAATATTTTTAATGTATATTTTAAAAATATAATAATAAAGTACATTTTTTAATTAAAATTTACAGAATATATAATATTAAATATAAATTATAATAAAAAATATTATTTAATTTTAATTGTAGATTCTTAATTATGTATTAAAAAATTGATTAAAAAAATAAAACTTAAGTTGAGTTTTTTAGGTTGATCTTAATTATTAATAAAAATAAAAACTTTATTTTGAAAATTTATAATAATAATAATAATAATAATAATAATAATAATAATACTAAAAATAATTTTTTTATTAAAATAGAATTTTAATTAATAAATGACGTTAATAATAAATAATATATAAAATTTATCTTTAAAAAAATTACATTATTAGTATTTCAGTTATTTTATACATAGTGAAACAAATCTCAATAATTAATTTGTCGTTTTCCTTTAAAAATAGAAAAGGACAACATAAAATGAGGATCAGGCACTAGTCATTACACATTTGGCCGTTGGGGCAGATTAAAAACAGCAATCAAACCTTGTCCTCCATTTACTCTTCAGACCAACCCGAACAGAGTAGTTCAGTTTCAGCACTGCTCTAAAACACCAATCACATTGATTACAATTTCCAAATCCAACCAAAGAGTGTGTGTTAGGGTTTCGCATCGCAAGAGAGAAGAACGAAAGAAATGGAAGGTGTTGTTGATCACTTGGCTTTTGAGAGGAACAAAGCGGAATTCGATGTCGACGAGATGAAGATCTTGTGGGCAGGTTCGCCTCACGCTTTTCAAGTTTCTGACAGAATGGCTCGTCTCGTTGCCAGCGATCCGGTAGTTCCTCCTTCATTCTTCGTTATCGTTCATTCTGTGACGATTTCCAAATGATTCACCTTCGTATCTATGCAGATTTGGAACGATAACAGAATTTTATCACTATCACAGTTCTTATTGTTTTTGCACTTCTTTTTAATATTTCTGGTTGTTTTAATTGCGTAATGTCGTGCAATTTTTTGCAGAGGGAAAGTGGCTATTCATTTTACTATTTTTTTTAAGAAAATGTCGGTGCACGAGATTTCATTTGTTAAATTTCCTCAAGGAAAAGATTAAATGTTTTGTGAATTGTGAGTTTGTGTGAAAAATTTGTGGAATTGTTGTTGCTCGGGAATTGTCTGTCGATAAGAAATGGATTGTTATATCTCTATACAGTATCAGAATTGAATGGTTAGTTAATGTTTGCGTATTTCTTCAAATCCCAAATTGTGAAGTTGCCTGGTACCTGTTCCTGGCTTCCTGCACTTTTTCATTTATGGGAGTTTGGTGATGAATGATGGTTTTGACTCCTAAAGTGCCTGAAATCTTGGTTGGTTGTCTGTTGTCTCTAGGCATTCAGAAAGGATAATAGAACCATGCTCAGTAGGAAGGAGTTATTCAAGAACACTTTGAGGAAAGCAACTTATGCCTGGAAAAAGATTATTGAGCTCCGACTTAGTGGTTTGTCTGTCTTCTATTGTTTCCATAATTTGCATTTGGTATCTTGTTATTTTCTTGAATGGGAGGTTGCCTTTCTATTGTTACAGAAGAGGAAGCTTCTAGGCTCAGATCCTTTGTGGACGAACCTGCTTTTACTGATCTGCATTGGGTACTATCCAGTTTCTTGTCCTGATGGCATTCTTATCTTTATGTCTTACCTATAACAACGTATATGGATGAAAATTCTCACAAGATAGATTGATCTCATAAATTCTTTTGCAGGGAATGTT